TTTTTTTTTTTTTTTTTTTTTTTTTTTTTTTTTTTTTTTTTTTTCTTTTTTCTATCGGCCCCTCCGTGTTTACCCTGCCCTCCGGGGGTCAGGAACTGCTTTCTTCCCCCCCACCCCCGCGAGTCTTCACACACACCTTTTGAAAGCTCTCGGCCCAATGTCCATCGTGCACGGCTGATCTTCCACCCTTTATGGGTCAACCTCTCCAATACCCTTTTTTTTTTTTTTTTTTTCTTAACCGGTACACGTGCGCCAATATCACCCCGACGTGGCGATTAATCAAACGAAAAGCCGTGTTAAACGATACAAATTGGCATTATCAATTTTCATATCAACATACGTTTCGACGTGCATATTACGCAAACAAACGCGCGTTATACACGAGAGGCAACAAACATTAAACGCGTGTACAGTGATGTAGTTTCATAGGGGGGGGGGGGAAAGAAAGAAAAAAGAAAGATACTAAAGCAGAGTATCAACAGAGCGAAATTTAATTAAATTTACTCGCTGCTGATTTTGTAGCCAATATACATTGGTACCAGGTGTCAGGGAGGGTGTTTTGTGTATTTACATGTTATATATACACACATGTGTCGTATTGCAGCAAAACTATCAATCAGTGATCGAGGCCACACAATATATTACGTATCACACAAGTGTACGTAAGTACACACGCGTGCAGTGCATAATGTGTACATATAATATTGCAGATAAATGAAAAAGGGTCGTCTAAACTTTGGAGTCGCAATCACGGTGACGTGTTTTATTGGTTTTTTTTTTTTTTTTTTTTTTTTTTTTTATCAATGAAACCCAAGTGTCGCAGGTACAGGCGCTTCCACAATAGATTTAAAAGTAAACAAACGAGCTTTTCTTTTTTCGTAAACTAACGGTTGTCGCAGTATAATACGATTCTCGTCGAGCGCGGATAAACAACAACGGCAACATTTCGACATCGAGAACAACGCCCGAGACCTTACCCCCCGAAGAACTAGAGAGAAAGAGCACGGACAGGTGTATACGCGTTGCAACACACAACGGATGAAGATACATATAGGTACACACACACGAGGGGGTCGAGGGAGAGAAACATCCTAGCCTCTCTCTTTCTTGCGACTCGTCTCCTCGTGCATATACACACACACACTCTTCAAGTAATTGGCTTCGCGTAAACCGCCGCGAGGCACCCAAAGTACATATATACACACACCATCGCGCTGCATCGTATACATATTATACATCCGGCATATAGAGAGATGAGTGTATTTTTAACCCTCGTATCTTCTCCTTCTCTCAAACTTGCGCTGCATTTTACTCGAGTCGCGCGACTCGCTACTATCCTAACATATACACGTATGCACATATTATGCTTTTTATATACGTATGGGCACAAGTGCTAAATAATCCGACCTACGGCGAGATGAGCCTCCGCTGCAACAGAGCCTACTTTTACCCAGCGCGACCTCTTTGTCTATACATAATATATACGCGCGTGTACACACATATATATATATACCATATATATACCATATATATTATACAAATAGGGAAGTCGCGAGCCTCGGCTGTATAAATGTACACGCGTGGGTGGTGGTTCGTCATTCGGGTAAACAAATGTTGTAAATTTAGCAAAAGCTTCGTGCCGTTGGCCTTCTTCTTTGGCTCCGAGTTGTATGGTGTATGCATGTATAGACGTAGTACACAATGTGTGCGTGGGTGGGGAGTAACATTCGGACCACCCGGACAGGGGACGATAACAATAACAGGGAGCGCCAATATCGCCGAAATTGAGCTGTTTATCTGTACCGTTCGAAGCTACACCCCACACCCAACTCTCCCTTCTTTTTTTTCTCAATTTTGCTTCGAAATCTCGTCGGTGAGTGTATATATATATGTGTGTATGCATATACGTATGTGTACGGTTCTTGGAAGGGAGAGTTTTTACGGTCTCGGTTGAGAGCGTGTCGCGAGACAGCCGAAATTTCGTCCAATTTCCGAGACGACCCCCCTCGCCGTTCGATTTATCGTCGCTGCTCGGTCACAAGTAATTTCCATCGCATCGAGTGTCCGTCCGTCACCGTTGACACTGACTTTTCATTTTGACGTATCGTCTCGAGTAATAAATACCTGTAATTACTTGCGAAACAACGGCACAATTGCATCAATCATGCATTAAAAATATAGGTTTGTCTCCCTCGACGCGAGAGGTGTGACTTTTTTCAGCGATCGCTGTGATCACATTTTGACGAAGATGAACGTGTATCGCGAAAACGTAGAACAAGATTTACGAGCTTCTTCGGGCCATACGTAAATTGTAGCAAAAAGAAATTATTTTTTTATTTTATTTAGTGTTGCATCGTATTTTTTTTAAGGATTGTTAAAGTATTATTTTAAGATCCACAGTTTTGTGGTGTAATGTCAACTTTGGGCTTTAATCGGTAAGAGCCTTTTTTAGACGTTTATGGCCATCTGGACCATCAGAATTTTTATCTTAATAAAAGTTGTATTTCAACGAGCTCTACATTTTTTTTTTCGACCATACCCATACCTTTGATAAAAATCAAAAGAACAACTCTCTTTTTTCATATTTCCCAATGTTTTTACGAATGCATGAAAATTATTTTTGAAAAAAATAAATGTAAACACGTCTTTTCTTCCGAGATCCACAACTCTTTTCTTTTTACATCGAATGTTCGAGTCAGATACATAAGTACAGTCGAAAGTTGAATTTTTTTTTTTCACATCTACATTTTTACTCGACTCTGAATGGACGTAAAAAATATATCCACTTGGCTATTTTTAGAGTTACGCAATCTTGGCGAAACGTTCGAAACAATCGAACGTAAAGTTACGAAGATGGTCGATTCACGCAACTTCATATACGTATACACTTTTTTCTCCGGCGAAACAAAGTGTAAAGGTATACCTCATAAACCGCGACAACAAAGTTGCGCGGAACCGGCCGTTTCGTGCGATCAAAAATAATTTAATAGCCCTCCCGTTGGTTGTCACTCCGCGAAAATACGTAGTTTACGCGACGTGTCCCGTCAGTCGAGCAAATTTGTGTTTGGTTGTTGTCACGAGATCGAGTTACCCTCGACCGTACTTCGAAATCGGGAAAATTGCGTCAAAGCTACTTTGAAAATAATTGATTTTTTACACACACGCGCGTTCGTCAGCTCCAAAATACCTACACCCTCTCGGTTTTGGCTTTGATCTTTGACTCTTCGAATAGCTTCGATTTATTTATTTAATTTTTTTTTTTTAATAACCGCTCCGTTTGACGTAGCAGGTGGCCACGCGTAGAGGAATCAGGTCAGGTTGGTCGAAAAAGCACAGCTTTTTTTTTCTGCTGCAGCCATGTTATATACCGACTTACAAGCTGCACTAGGGCTTTTAACATGCCCGCGCTCGTGTACAGATTTTTTTGTTTCTTTGAAAAGAAAAAAAAAAAAAAAAAAATTGCAAGCTTCGTTGTTTTTACTCTCCGCCAGCCTTTTCCAATGGAAAATAATTGCAATCAATAAAACTCTGCGCGTGCACACCTATTGGGTTCTCAATATTTTTGCGCTTCCGGCTCTCGAAGAATTGCGCAAAAGTAGCACAACCTCGAGGCCCGACTCTCCTATTGACGACAAATATACATTATGATTATTTATTCACTGTACTAATTTCCTTGAGAAAAAAGGGGGTGGGGTACTTGCTAATGACGACGAGGGGAAAAAAAGTTTTTCATCAACAAAAACACACCCATGCATATATAACGAGCGCTATGTATGCAAGTACACGCATTAGGGAAAGTTTCTCGCGACGGCGGGGCATATCGGGGCAGAAAACAACAAAAGCTCACTTGCTCCTCCGTTTAATTGCGGCGCCACGCCAACATATTCTCGAGGGTTGAACGTGCGAGTGGTGGTTTTTTTTGTTTTTTTTTTTTCGGGAGCACTACAATCGGCATT